GCAGATGTCCTCCCAGAGGGAGGAGTGATTGTGATCACTCAGAGAGAGAGATAAGGAAAAATGCCCCCTTGACAAAAGACAACTGCCATACAAATGGTAACAGAATACATCTCACCTTGCAATCTGGAACAGCACATTTCTAATCAGTGGATTGTGGCACTGTTCTGAAGTCTTCTTGAGCTGCCCAGGGTATAAATAGCCCTGAGGAGCCCTCTCTGGGATGGGGATGGATAATGTCACGCTCGCTGTGCCAGGAGTGCCTGCCCGCTGAGCTCGCTGGCTTTTGCTGGTTGCATTATTCATTGCACAGCTCCTGTTTTAGCAGGAGCAAACCCTGGATCCACCCCTCTGCTGTGGAGACCAGATCTGTGATTGCAAACACTGTCAGACCCTTCTGAAGAGGAGGGAGAGCTCTGTCACTGACGTAGGTGACAAAAATACGTATTTTCCTGGGAGGACACTGTGTCCCCATGAAGTGCAGGACAAGGAGACTTCAAAGCAGTGCCACAATGCACTGATTAGACATGTACAGACTGCAGGATGAGGATTTGTACCTGTCCCCTTTGGGATGAGGCAGGGGGCTGCTAGAGCAGAGGAAATGAGGCAAGACAAGGCTGGGGTTGATGCTCAGCATCAGTGAAGCCCAAAGCTTCCAGAAGGTCACAGAGCTGAGCAACGATGGACATGGGCAGGTTCAATGGGCAGAAAGTCAACCATGATTTCTGAACTTGGGGAGAAGAAGGATTTTGGGAGGTAAGAGGGGCTCAAAACCCCTCCAGCATGTCCCCACTGCAGTCCACTGTGCTTTGGTGGGTTCAGTTTCACCTCAAATCCAACCCTGAGCATTTCCCTCTTGCTGAAGCCGCAGGGCTGGATCAATGACAAAAAATGTCACTGGCCACCATGATCTTGTGGGACCTCCCAAGCGCACCTGAGAGGCAGCTGTGCTGGGGTGAAGAACTGGCCCTGTCAGGCCAGCACAGCTGCGTGACCAGGTCTCCCTCCCTGCCCTAGGTTTCCCTGAGAGCACCTTGTCCATCTGGTTCATCACCTACTGCGGCGTGCAGCTGATCAAGGAGCGCGAGCGCATCCTGGCCATCCAGGAGGAGGAGAAGGGGGACAAGGCCAAGCTGGAGTAGGGGAGCCTTGTCCTGAAGCTTCACCTCCCTTCCAGCCACTGCTGCCAGGCCAGGCACCGTTCAGGGCTCTGCAAGCCCTCCTGACAATCGGACTGCTGTAGCTCATCCACGTAGACGTCACCTGGAAGGCACCGGTCACCCCCTTGCTGCAGGGAATATTTTCCATCAGGCACAGCGGGTGTTTCACAGTCTCCCCAGGCGTGGCAGGATGCTGAGGCAGCTCCCAGGATGTTTCTTCCATGCCAGAGCCATCCCTGTTGTTTTCTGACCCTCTGCAGTGTGCAGGCTCAGAGATTTCACCCCCTGCTTCCCTTGGTGCACCAGCACTGGGCTCCCCTCAGCCCTTGTCTCCCAGAGGAGACTCTCCAGGCCCCATGGCTGGAGGTTTTAGGGCCCTGCGCTGCTGGATCTGTGACCACCCTGCTGTGACACGTGTCCTGGGACTCAAGCCAAACCCCACCTCAGTTTTTTTTACATGCTATGGACAAAGGTCTAAGCTCACATTCCTGCCCATGGCTGAGGGACAGAAGGTGCTGCAGCCACCCCTTGCTCACCTCCATCCCTTTCCTCAGCTGCCTTTGGTGTGCACAGCCCAGTGAGCACACAGCTGAGCACAATCCAAGGAGAAAAGCCCCAGGTGAAGGTCAGGGAGTGGGGCTGGGTGGTGGAGGGAAAGCCCATGGGAGCCTCCTTGGAGAATCAGACTTTGGGAGCGTGTGAAACACAGTGCCTTGGGGAAAAGGTGGGTTTGTGACACAGAAATAGCTCTCTTGCACTTTAGAGTAACTCTCAGTGGCCTTATGTCTGAGTTCTGTCTGTCTGGGGCAGGACCCACACCCTCTGCAGTGGGGTTGAGACCTTGGTGCATCCCTCTGGGGGAAACAGGATGGGTTCTTGCCAGCTTTCAGCTCTGCCAAAGCATTTTGTGGAGTCCCTGGTAAATGTCTCTTATTTATGTAGCCAATAAATGTTGGATAATTCTGGCACCTGTTGCTCATCCCTGTTAATGCTGCTGGCTGCAGGTGACACCCCTGGAAATACCTGAGCTGAGAGGACAAGGATCTGTTTGCAGGTCCTCACCTGCCCCCCAAAAAGTGACACAAGACATTTGTGACTTCAGCACAAACCCATTTGCCATCACCAGACTGGAGTTTGGACTGCAGCTGGATTCATATTCACCTTTATTTTGACTCTGCTTTTGTACATAACTTGATCCTGTGGCCAGCAAACTTCACTCATGTGGGTTTTGGGTTAGAAGCCAGGTTGTTTTTACTTTTGTGAGCCTCCCAACAATTCTGGGAGTAAGGGGCAGGCATTGTGCCTTGGTGGCACCTTGTCACATCCCTTTTTGACACATCTGTCACTGCTGGACTTTTCATGGGTGCTTCTTGGCATCTCCGTTATTTCAGATTTACGTTTTCCATCAAACCAGCTCTGCCACCCTGTGCTTCCTGCAGGGCTGGATTCATCTCCTGCCCTCTTTAGGCGTCCTTGCATAGGTGGCACCTCCCTGAGCTGCTGTCACCAAGGGCTCTGTCCCTGAGGTGGCTCGGTCAGGCTCTGTGGCTGCCTGGGAGGACAGAGTCACCTCCAGTGTCCAAGTGGGTGACTCACCAGGCAAAGCCCAGTGACTCTGCACTGCCCTCCTGACTGGGACACTTCAGCACAGAAAATAGCCCATTCACTAAGAGCCTATATATACCCAGCAGCTGCATCTGCTGAAGCTGCCAGAAGGAGCTAATCTTAGACACCAACCCAGCCAGTGATCTGTTAGAGACAGTTCACGGGAGAATTTGGGCTTTGCCCTTCTTTTCCAGGAGTTTTCCCTTCAGCTTTTGCTGCTCTGGCAAGCCGAGGAGGTCTCAGCCCCCTGGTGCTGTCTCAACCAGCTCAGCCTTGTACTGAATCCCACTGTAGGATGGGATTTATCCACTCATCCCCTCTGATTATTGCCTGCCCCTTCATAAAACTCTACCAAAAAGCCAAGAAAAGTAATTTTTTAATGTAATTACAAATCCCACTTAACAGCCTTACACTGGGCACTTTCTTGTTCAGCCTGACATGGCTGAAATTCCTTCCTCCATCCTTTTTTTTTTTTTTTTTTGTCATTTTTTGTGTTTGGGAGTGATCCTGCAGCACTGCATCCCTTCAGGATGTATCTGTGCACCCTCACTGTTGTGGTTTAATCCCACACAGTTTCTCTCTCACTCCCCCTCATCCCATTAGGAGGAGAATCAGAAATAAAAGGTAAACAGGTAAATCTGTGGAGATAAGAACAGTTTAACATTTGAAAGAAAACAATGCTTATAATAATAATGACAAGGAGAGGAGAAAGAGCAACAGAACCCAAGAGGAACAATGAGGCACAACAATTGCTCATCACACACTGGCTGATGCCCAGCCTGTCCCCAGACAGCACATTGGCTCCCTTCTGGGTAATTTTCACAGTTTATATCCTGGGAATGATGTTCCGTGGTATGGAACATCCCTCTGGCCAGCTCAGGTCAGCTCTCCTGGCCACGCTTTTGGTGCAGCTTTTGGTGCAGCTCCTCCCTGGCAGAGTGTGAGAGATGGAAAATCCTTGACTCAGGGTGAGGATGACAGCAGGAGCCAAAATATCGGTGAGTTATCTGCATTATCCTCACCCTAAATCAGGAAAAACACAGCACTGCAGGAGGAAAATTGTGACTGTGTTCACAGGGGTTCTTGGATGAGGGAAGAGACGAGGATCTGACTCCATGTTTCAGAAGGCTGATTTATTATTTTATTGTATATATTACATTAAAACTATACTAAAAGAATGGAAGAAAAGGTTTCATCAGAAGGCTGGGTAAGAATAGAATAGGAAAGAAAGATAACAAAAGCTTGTGGCTTGGACAGAAAGTCCAAGTCAGCTGACTGTGATTGGCCATTAATTAGAAACAACCACATGAGACCAATCACAGATGCACCTGTTGCAATCCACAGCAGCAGATAATCAATGTTTACATTTTGTTCCTGAGGCGCCTCAGCTTCTCAGGAGGAAAAAATCCTAAGGAAAGGATTTTCCATAAAAGATGTCAGTGACAGAAAATTCCCTCTCCCAGATTAAACCAGGACCTCCACCCACTCCCATGTCCTGGGGGATTCTTGTTCACTTGGGGACACCTTTAATGACTGTGGGAGTCCCTGGTCATTGGAAATGCCTGGCTGTGGCCCTGTCAGACCTGGGGCACAGTGCACCCAGCTCCTCTGGGAAGGGCTGCAGCTGAATTTTAGCAGTGGCACCCCATGGGATGGGGGATAAGGAAGCAAAACTCAGCTGGCAGCACAGCAAAAAGGAAAACAAGGCAGGGCTCAAAGGAGATTAAAGGCAGAGGGAGGGGGGAGATCCCAGCTGGTGGCACAACAGCACGGGATTAAACCTGGGATGGCACAGAGCTGATGCAGAGAGGGCAGGGAGGGGGTGTCCAGCCCCAGATGTCAGGGAGCAAAAATTCCTGAAGTTCGACCCAATTCAAAGATCAGCACTCAAAACTTGGTCCTGTCCCAGATGAACAGCACAGGGTGATGTGAGCTCTGAAACCAGTTTGAGATTATTTCCCTGTTCTGCTGGTACCTCCCAGCTGCTGCTGGAACCACACCAGTACAGAAGGGCTTCATACTGGTGCAGCTCCCTCCCTCTTAGAGATGACCATCATGGCAATTTTTATAAATTTTACATCCCTGCCAGAGTAAGGGGTTTTGTGGCTTTAAACACACCAAGAATAATGGCTAATATTTTTTCATAGGCTTAATTAAATCGTTAATTAAATCTGTGCCATCACTGAGTGTCAGACAGCCCAGAGGGTCCACAGCAAGAGATAAAACAGATTCATGTGCAAGTTTTACTATGGCTATAAATAATTAGAGCTACTCTGCTCGTCCATGTCTGTCAAAACTAATTTGCCTCTTTGTGAGCTCTGTGGGAACAGCTGGACATGGACTGGCCATTTCAGGGCCCAGGGGACTTCCTGGACATCCATGGGTAGGCAAGCAGGACACAAGCGCTGCTGGAGAGCTCAGCCAGTCTGGGGCATCAGCTCCAGGCCAGACAGACTGTTCTGCTGTGCCTCTAGACTCCATCCAGAGGGGAATGATGAACCAGAAGGCCTGAGCAGGAGACCCTCAGTTTACTAGAAAGTATTTGTGTTTAGATGCCTTAATCTGTGAGTTGAAGCCCACCATTGCATTTCCTTTATTTCTATTCTGCCTCAGACACTCTCTCCGTCACCAGGATGGATTTACTGGTGCCCAGTGCCCACAGACTGTGCCACTGGGGCCCATGTGCGTGTTTGACAGAGTCACAGAACCAGTGAGGCTGGAAAAGATCTCTGGGGTTGACTCCAACCTGTGGTGGAACCAGACCATGGCCCTGAGTGCTGTGTCCAGTCTTTCCTTAATGCCTCCAGGGATGGAGACTTCACCACCTACTGCAGGGGAAAAGAGCCATTCCTCTCCCATAGTCCTCAAATCTCCTGCTTTAGGGAGGATTTTAAAGGAACTTCCAGTGCAGATCTCGTATCCCACACAGGGCTGTAAATAAACACCTCTATCTCCATTTCCCACCCATTTCCAGACCCCTGAAAAGTGACTCCAGAGGAGAATAAAGGACAAACCTGTACAAAGCAGGCCTGGGTGGGAGCTGGCTGGAGCTGGGGATGCCACAAAGCCCACACAAGACCTTCCCTTAGCACATCCATCCTTCCAGTTTTGACTTCATGGCCTATTCTTAGCACAGCTAAAGGTCCAGCACTTTCAGAGCATCATGAGGAAGAAGCCCCAGCCTTGCCACCCATGACCCAAACAGCAAATTGGGGTGTTAGATTCACCCAGAGCCCTCTTCCCAAACCCATGGTGTCACAGCAGCCAAACCTGCTGCTCTCCCCACGGTGACTCACGAGCTGCCAGACCCTTCCTGAGTTCCTGGGGCTGGAATTACAGCTGTTCCCCTGGCCCCCCTCCCTTCCTCCTTGTCCAATGTGTCATATTAAAGGGTGATCGGCTTACACATGCTGCACTATGGATTCCCTAAGCCCTGCAGGGCTGTGTCTATATATAAAGCTGGAAGCTGAAGTGCACAGACAGCTGGGAGCATAGCAAGGTTTCACATTCCCAGTGTGCCAGCGGTCTGGAAGCCCGTGAAGCTGTGAGCTCTGCTTTCTTTACTCAGGTTTAGGTACAGCCACCAATATTTATCCATAAAAGAAGGATTGGGGCAAAGAACGAGCGGTATTTCGCCACCATGGGTTTGCCTCTTGATCAAGTGGAGGAATTGCGTCTCTACCAGCAAACTCTTCTCCAGGATGGGCTCAAAGACATGTTGGACCACAATAAGTTTCTGGACTGTGTCTTAAAAGTGAAAGGGAAGGAGTTTCCCTGCCACCGGCTGGTGCTGGCAGCCTGCAGCCCCTACTTCCGGGCCATGTTCCTCTCAGACATGGAAGAGAGCAAGAAGAGGGAGGTCAGCCTGGAAGATGTCGACCCAGATGTCATGGGCAAGATCCTGCACTACATCTACACCTCCGAGCTGGAGATCACAGAGCAGAACGTGCAGGACATCTTCTCCGTGGCCAACATGTTCCAGATCCCCTCCATCTTCACCGTGTGTGTGTCCTTCCTGCAGAAGAGGCTGTGCCTCAGCAACTGCCTGGCCATCTTCCGGCTGGGGCTGATGCTGGACTGCGCCCGGCTGGCCGTGGCCGCCCGCGACTTCATCTGCGACCGCTTCGCGCTGGTCTCCCGCGACGAGGAGTTCTACCAGCTCTCCCCCGACGAGCTGATCGCCGTCATCTCCAGCGACTCCCTCAATGTGGAGAAGGAGGAGAGCGTCTTCGAGGTGGTGATGAAGTGGGCGGGGGCCAAGGAGCGCGAGAGCCGGCAGAAGGCCCTGCCCGTCATCTTCGAGAGCATCCGCTTCCGCCTCATGCCCGGCGACTTCATCAGGGAGCACGTGGAGAAGCACGCCCTGGTCAAGTCCAGCCCCGAGCTGCTCAAGAAGCTGCAGATGGTGAAGGACGCCCAGAAAGGCAAGTTCACCGTGGTGAAGAAGAAGAAAGTGAAGAAGAGCAGCGAGAATCAGGCGAAGGAGGATGTTGTCAATGGAGCGGTGGACGAAGGGGAGGACACGGAGGAGGATGCTCTCCCTGGGATCTTGAATGACACCATGCGCTTTGGGATGTTCCTCCAGGACCTTATTTTCATGGTGAGCGACAGTGGAGCTGTGGCCTATGACCCCAATGCCAACGAGTGCTATTTTGCCTCCCTGTCTACTCAAATCCCGAAGAACCATGTCAGTCTGGTGACCAAAGAGAATCAGATCTTCATTGTCGGAGGACTGTACTACAACGAGGACAACAAAGAGGATCCCATGAGCTCCTACTTCCTACAGGTACTACCTTTGTCTTTCTTTTGTTTCTTTGACCACTTGGGAACATCACCAAGCTTTAGCTCCCATAATATTTGTTGCCATGTGATGTTAAAGTTGTAAATGGAGGAGAATGATCTGAGTTGCTTTCCTGGAGATTCTTCTCCCTTTATTTTTAAGGATGACTCTACAAGAGGTTGTTGTGGTAGTTGAGGAAGAAGCTTTGAAGGAGTAGGAAACAGGAATGAGCCTTCCTGATCCAAATCCTGAGGAGAGGATTGTTTAGAGCAGTGAATTTGGCCCAGCCCTGGCTGCCACAGGGTTCGCAAACTGGGAAGTTCATGGCATCAGACCCAGGTTCTGTTTTGCATCCCCTGCCTTCCCTGGTTGTGAACCCCAGGAAAACCCAAGGGTGATGCTGCCAGGTGCTGAAAAAGGAGCAGCAGCAGCTGCAGCCACAGAGCAAACACCCCAAGGACACAGGGCATGTCCCCATGGCCTCACAACACTGCCCCATTCCCTGCTCCTGCCCCTGGAGATGGGCTTGGGCCAGCTCAGAGCCTCAGCCATTTCCATCCTGAGAGGGGGAAACCACCTCAAGCTGTCTTTGGGGATACCCTCAGGGAAAGGGGCTGTTCTAACTTAGCAATGACCCAACTGTGGCTGGATTGAGCTGTGCAGGCAATCTGAGCCCCAGCCTGGGCTGCAGCCCAGATTTCTTTCCCTGCAGACAGCTAACACAAGGCGCCTGCCCTTCCTCCTGACCCCAAGGAATCCAGTAAATCCTCTATTCTTCCTCCCATACCCAGAAATTCCTTTTTTTGTTCCTCTCCATGGCTCAAATCTTCTGGGAAGAAACAATAACATGTCTCAGGCTCTCATCTTCTGGGAAAAACAATAACATCTCCAGGCAGAAAGGATAAAATGAGGGTGGCTGCCAAGCCAAGACGCGGAGCCCTGATCCCTGCCTTGACTCATTGCCCTCATCAGTGGGGCTGCACATCCTGCAGGGACCAGGCTTGTCCTCACCTGGAAGGGGCGGGGGGTTGTGCAGGCCAGGTGAAGCCCAGGGAATGGGAAGCCAGGAGGAAGAAACTCCAGCTCTATAGACCAGGACAGTCGAGGATGACAGAGGTGTGGGCAGCCGCATCAGTTACCTGTGAAGAGCAGGGCCATGCATTCAGCCAAACCTGTGCCTAAAGATCAATCTACCCAGCAGAGGAGGAGCAGGGCCCAGAGAGGTCACAGAACCTCCACAGAATCATAGGGGAGCTCATTCTATGTAATCTTGAGAAGGACCTTGAGGATCTCATAGTTCCAAACCCCTGCCATGAGCAGGGGGTTGTGCCCACCAGGTGAAGCCCAGGGAATGAGAAGCCAGGAGGAGGAAACTCCAGCCCTACAGAGCAGGAGGGAGTGGGAAAGCTGAGGAAGTGCTGGGGGTGTCCTGTTTGAGGTACAGGCTTTCACAGTGCACAGTCCAGGAGGACAGAGGTGTGGGCAGCCCCATCAGTTACCTGTGAAGAGCAGGGCCATGCATTCAGCCAAACCTGTGCCTAAAGTTCAATCTTGCCAACAGAGGAGGAGCAGGGCCCAGAGAGGTCACAGAACCTCCACAGAATCATAGGGGAGGCCATTCTATGGAATCTTGAGAGGGACCTTGAAGATCTCCCAGCTCCAAACCCCTGCCATGAGCAGGGACACCTCCCACCAGACCAGGCTGCTCAGAGCTCCATCCAACTTGGCCCTGAACACTTTCAGGGGTGGGGCAGCATCCTTGGAAACATTTAACATTTGACTGCACAAAGCCCTGGGAAACTGCTCTAACTCTCAACCTGTCGCCCTTTGAACATGTGGGTTGGATGAAAAACCTTTGGTGATCGTTCTCCCCAAAGTACTCTGTGGTTCTGAGCTGCAAACAGCAACATTTCTCCGTTTGCCACTAATTCAGTGGCAAATGTCCTGAGCATCGTGGGGCCAGTTTCAGCTCTTCCCCACAAGGGTCTCTTCACACATCACCATGTCACTTGTGCTTGGAAGAATCAGACAAACCCTGGGACTGGACAATGCCATCAGTTTGCAATGTTTAATTTATTGTATCAGTGTCATTATGTAGCTCACAGTTGCTGTATGAGCAAGAGAGGTTTTGAGCCCTTTTTTTCAGCTCAAATGGCACATTTAGACATGCAGTTCTATGACAGTGCACACCTCCCTACACCTTCTGACTCTTTCTATTCCCCCAAATTTCACATTCCCCCTGCTGAAGCCAGGTGCATTAGGTCAGGGATAATTTAGATTTAAGGACAGGCACCAAAATATAAAAAATGCTGATAAATCCCAGGGGCCTTGCAGATTTTGGCAGGAGTAAAATGATTCCATTGACATTTCAGATGGGAAAGGGTATCCTTTCTTTGTCACTTGCAAGATTTATGACTCGAAAACAATGCTGAACCCATCAAGAAGCAGGAACTACCCTGATGACTGAGCTGCTCAGGGTTGCACTATAAATAACACATGTGTGGAGCACAGCTTACAAAGGGACAAAAACCACAGGCACCCAGCTGAGGGTGAGCCTTTGGAGCCAACCCATCAGGCTGAGGCTCCTTGGCCTGAGCCCATGGCAAACAATGCTCCAGGCAGTGCTGCGTCACAGCCCCATCCTGCAGCCCCACAAAACTGGCTGCAAGAACATCCCTCCCTCCTCTATCAAGATATAATATTTTTTTTCCTCAATTCCCATTAAGCCACAGTGCTCAGAATCTTCAGTCTAAGAATTTTTTCTTTTTTTTTTAAATTTTTTTTGGGTGGGAGATGAGACAATGCCTTGATGTACAGATGCCCAAGGATTTGGTGATCTGACCCAGCAGCTTGCTCTGGCACACTTTATCTGTGTAGCCAACATTGCTGGCAGCACCCTGTCACCTGGCAGAGATGGAAAATGCCAGGATGAAATACTGTGAGGTGTTCCATGCATGAAAAAGCTCAGGGGAATTTCTAGGATTGAAATGCTTCCATTCCTCCAGTCCCAGGAACCATCCACTGTAAGTGCGGCAAGAAGGCTTTCACCCAAAGACAACCAAGCTTGTTCCAAGTTAGAAGAGGAAATTTAGGAGAGAGTTTATCACTCCACAACTCCCTGAAAGGAGGCTGGAGCAGGTGGGGTTGGCCTCTTCTCCTAGGCAACCAGGGACAGGATAAGAGGCAAGGCCTCAGGCTGCACCAAGGGAGGTTCAGGTTGGACATCACGGAGAATTATTTTACTGAAAAGGGTGATCAGGCATTGAGATGGGCTGCACAGGGAAGTTGTGGAGTCACCATCCCTGGAGGTGTTCAAGAAACGGCTTGATGTGGCACTCTGTGCCATGGAATTGACAAGGAGGTGGCTGGTCAAAGGCTGGACACAATGATCTCAGGGCATTTTCCAACTTTAATGTGATTCTATAAGGTCCAGGCTTGGATGAATAGAGCAGAAAGTGTTGCTGCAGACCCATCTCAGCTCTTGTGCTATGTCATAAAGGGTTTATCATACAAATTGTGCCTTGGGTTTGCTCTCAGGTCTCCCATCCTGCTCAGGCTGGCAAAGGCACAGCCACAGGAGCAGTGCAGGGAGTGCTGCTGGGGTGACCAGGCTGCACATGGGAACACACTTCGTCCTCCACCTCTGGACCCTGCCTTTTGCTGATCAAATGGGCACACACTAATGACCATTTGTTCCCTTCCAGTACGACCACCTGGATGCAGACTGGCTGGGGATGCCCCCCCTGCCCTCCCCTCGCTGCCTCTTTGGCCTGGGGGAGGCAGAAAACTCAATTTTTGTGGTTGGAGGGAAGGAGCTGAAGGAGGGAGAGAAGACCTTGGATTCAGTGCTGTGCTACGACCGCCTGTGAGTGTCCAGTGTGAGCGTGGGGTGGAGGGGCTTGGAGGGGAAATGGAGCAGCTGCCAGGGGTTAAAATATTTGGGAGAAGGGCTTGAACCCTGTATGAGGATGCTGGGAATGCCCTCGAGCTGTGCCCTGGGGCTCTGAGATGTCTCCTTCCATCTGCTCCCTTTATTGAGCCTCCAGGAGAGGGGAGCCTTTATGGGGATATTTTGTTTTCTGGGACTGATATTAGTAGATGTTCACGTGAGAAATGTACAGAGGTGGTTTTTTCCTTCTGCTAAATCTCCTGCTCTTGCCCATTGACTAAAGGATCAGTGGCATTCACTGTGGTCTCACCAAAAGAGGTTTGAACAGAAAAGCTTGTTTTTAAATTTTTTCAGATGTGTCACAGAACGGCTCATCCTGATTGATATCAGGCTTAATATCCAATTACTTTTGGACAATGGGCTCTGACCCATGCTAGCTCATGAGCTTTATTAAAAGACACCATCCTGTTCTTCTCTCAGGAGACAGAAACTTCCAAAGAGACAGAGCAGCAGGCACCAACAAGCCTTTGCTTGGTCTATATTTAGATGTGTGTGCTTCCAAGTCTGTTTTATAGGCAGAGATTTGAAACCAGTTCCATTCCCACAGAGCAGGGCATTTATCTGCCCCTGCAGACTCTGGGAAAGAATTTATCTGCCCACACTAAATTATTGTGGATGGTTTGAGTATCAGTTTGAGACTGGTAGAGATGTGATCAGCACCACTCTATCTCTGGTTTTATTTGGTTGATATTATTCTGATTGAACATGAGCCAGCCATGTGCTCAGGTGGCCAAGAGGGACAGTGGATTGTATCCATCCATCCATCCATCCATCCATCCATCCATCCATCCATCCATCCATCCATCCATCCATCATCCATCCATCCTGGATGGATCAGCAGGACCAGGGAAATGCTTCTCCTTTTGTTCTGGGCACTGTGAGGCTGCACCTCAAATCCTGCATCCAGTTTTGGGCCTCTCATGACAAGAAGGACATTGAGGGCCTGGAGTGACCCCCAAGAAGGGAGCAGAGCTGAGGAAGGGTCTGGAGCACCAGGAGCAGCTGAAAGAACCGAGGGGACTCAGCTTGGAGAAAAATAGGTTCAAGGGGTCATTGTTGCTCCCTATCCCTACCTGAAGATCTCAAAAAAATAATGGATATTAGCATAAATAATCTGCTTATTTTACTGTCACCCTTTCTTAGGATCACTATTATTATTTTTAGGATCATTATTATTATTTTTAGGATTATTAGACATTTATTGTCTGAGCCTGTCCCATTGCAGACCCTGTGATTTTGAGACTGAGTCCAACCCTGTGCTCACCTCTAGGTCTGGGAAATGCCATATCCTCTAGGTGTCATCCAGCAAGCTACAAATCCTTTTGCTTCCCATCTTTTTCTGACCCTTTTTTTTATTTCCCATCTTTTTCTTTCCCATCTTTTCCAGGTCCTTCAAGTGGGGTGAGGCTGATCCCCTTCCCTACTCAGTCTATGGCCACGCAGTGGTATCACACAAGGATCTTGTCTACGTCATTGGGGGCAAAGGAAGTGACAAGTAAGTCAAAAAGCAAGGGAAAATCAAGGAGGCAATCCCCAAACCAGTGGGAGTGCAGAGTTGGTATCTCCTCAGCCTGGTTCAAGGAGGGCTGGATGGGATGGGAGATGTGGATCCTCCCCTCCCTGCTCACTTTGCAGCCCTTTCCAAAATCTTAGGAGGCCAACAGGGACATCAGGAAGATGATGGCAGTGTCCTTACAGGAGAGAGAATGCATTGCCCCATCCCTGGAAGCAGGCTGGAGGGGACTTTGAGGGAAACTGGTCCTGTGGAAGGTGGCCCTGCCCATGGGGGTTGGAATGAGATGCTCTTTAAAGATCCTTCCAAATCAAACCACAAAAAAAACCAAATGTCACTCAGATTGGGAGAGGCATTGAAGAGCAAGCAGCCCCTTCACTTTTAGGGTGTCCTGTCTTGGCCTTGTGGAGCAGAGTGGTCACCATAGCCAAATCCAGACATGTATTTGCAACAGGAAGGAAAAACCTGATCCACCCTGACCCCATCCCACCCTCCTGCAGGAGATGAGCTCAGCAGGAAAAGCCTCTCTCAGGAGCATCACAGTGGCTGCCCTGCAGGGCACAGATGTGGCTGTTTGCAGAGCAAACATTCCACAATCCAGCAAGGATTGGTCCTGCTCAGGATGGGTTATGGTCTGAAAGGTGAGAACATCCTCACGCTGCCCACCTGGCCACAGGAATGCCACTGAGGATATTCTGCAGCATCACAGTGGATCAGGAGCAATAAATCAATGCCTTGGTGTCTGTGAGAGGTCCTAAGGGGCTGTCTGGACCTGTATCCAGGTGTGTGAGCACCAAGCTGAGCTCTCAGGACTCCTGAACAAAGATACAGCAGGAGGGGATGTGTTGCACACACACGTGGTCACTCCAGGCAGGGACATCCTTTGGTTCACACCCAACAAATGGGGTGTGTTCCTCCCCTCATGCCAAGGTGAAGGAGCAAAATCCTCCCTAGATGTCGGGATCTTTAGCTTGTCAGAGTGACCCCAAGAAAAGTTGGAAAGTCTCTTTTCCCAGCCTGGCGCTTGAAGGAGGAGTCGGAGCTCTTCATTTCTTGGTCTCAAGGTTGTTTATTGTTTCTTATCTCTAAAATTCTTTCTCCTGTCCCGTTGAAGTCCATCCAGCAGGACAGTCCCAGGCACTCTGCCTGCCCCAGGGCAGTGTTATGTCTTTATACTAAAAACTACATGTACAATGTTTACAATTCCTTTCCAATACCTATCACCTATGTTAGACAGTGAGCTTCTACTCTAAACCAATCTGTGAGTGCCAACATCACAGCAGAAGATGGAGGCCAAGAAGAAGAAGGAGAAAGGCTGGACATGCCCAGTTCCTTCCATCTTGCCTCCTGAACCCTCATACCAAAAACCCCAAAATCTCTTTTTCCACCCCGTGATAACTTCACTATTATTCTACTTAAATTGTAATGGCTTGCAGATCTTCATCTAAGGTTGGTAATTTGCTCCACAGGTCATAATCAAACCCACAGGGGCATCTTGGGCTCTGTGCCAGGGTGTCTGAGCCCCCTGGCAGGGGTCCTGACTGCTCAGGACAGACAGAGGGATGTCATGGGTCCTGACACCTAGAGACCCCACCCTCTTCCCAGCAGACACCCCCAAACCCCTGCAAGGCAAAACCACCCCTTGGCAAGCAATCAAGGCTCCTTTTCCCTCTCCTTTTTCTCCAGGAAGTGCCTGAAGAAGATGTGTGTCTACAACCCAGCCAAGTTTGAGTGGAAGGAAATGGCTCCCATGAAAACTGCCCGCTCCCTGTTTGGGGCCACCGTGCACAAGGACAAAATCTACGTGGCAGCTGGTGTCACTGACTCTGGTTTGACCAACTCTGTGGAGGTCTATGACATTGCCACCAACAAGTATGTCCTGAGTTGTGGTTACACCAGGAGTAGGTGCAGGTGTAGGCTCAGCAAATTCTAACCATCCTGGAGTTTGTTTGTGGCTCCTGATGTCAGTTCCTCCAGTTTATACACTGATGGGAGCGGAGTTGGAGCTGGATAATCTTTAAGGTCTCTTCCAACCCAAGCCATTCTAGGGTTCTGTGGTTCCTCAGAGAGCTGGGCATCACCAAAGTCACAGTGGTTGGGCTGGGGATCATCTCAGGCTGAGCCTCAAAGTGGTTTTACCCACTGTGCCATCCTTGGGTTCCCTGGAGCTTCATCCAACACAATGAACCTCTGAGTTTGGGTGGATACCTGGGTACAGGTCCTGGCAGCTGCTGCCCCAGCACTGGGACAAACTGGCCCATGCACCCAAAGCAATACCAAGCTGAACAATGATGATGGGAGCAGTTTCTCTAAAAACAGCTGAGATATGGTCTCATCCCACCTAGACCTGCACAGCTGGATCTGTCCCTTGTGAGCTCAGCTGTTGAATCCTGATTGAGGCCATCCTCAGCGTGGAGGTGGCAAGGATGCTCTAACTTTGAGGAATGTTTGAAGGAGCTGAGCTTGTTTATCCTGGAGAAGAGGAGGCTCAGAGGTGACATTATTGCTCTCTACAACTCCCTGAATGGAGGCTGTAAACAAGTGGGAGCTGGTCTCTGACAGAACCAGAGGACACAGTCTCCAGCTACGTCAAGGAAGGTACAGGTTGGATATTAGGAAAAAAATTTGCACCAAAAGAATAACAAAGCACTGGAATGCTCTTCCCAGGGAGGTGGTGGAATCACCATCTCTGGATGTGTTCAACAAGACTGGACATGGCACTTGGTGCTAGAGTCTAGGTGAGGTGTTAGGGCATGGGTTGGACTTGATGATCTTGAAGGTCTCTTCCAACCTCATGATTCTGTGGTTCTGTGATGAGTCTGTGATGAACCTGTCCCCTCTCTCCCGTGGCAGGTGGGACACCTTCCCTGAGTTCCCCCAGGAGCGCAGCTCTGCCAGCCTGGTCAGCCTCTCTGGGGTGCTCTACCTGCTCGGGGGCTTCGCCACGGTGGAGACCGAGTCGGGAGAGCTGGTGCCAACGGAGCTCAACGACGTCTGGAGGTGACAAACCTTCCCAAGGCTGTCCCAGGGAGCATGGGGGGGATGTCAGCTATGAAATAGATCATTTCTGTCTGTTTTTATGCCGTCACTGTGAGATGGAGGTTGCAGGCTGCAGGCTCAGCACTCAGTGTCTGGGAATTTTGCCCTGTGCTGTGCTGGAGGGCACATTGGTTCTTCAGTGATCTCTCCCAGCCTCACACAGCAACAGACCAGGGAAAACTTGCTCCTTTGGCTTTGTTGTGCATTGACATTTTGCCTGGAGCTGGTTCCAGACTGTCCTTTGGTGTGGAGCAGCATCTGTGCAATGCTTCCTCTCCCTGGGAACAGCCCGTGCTCGGCTGGGAAGCAGAGAGTCTGGATTAGGAAGCAGAAAGTCTGGGTTGGGAAACAGGGGGTCTAGGTTGTGTAGCAGATTCTGGGTTGGGAAGCAGAGTTTGGGTTGGGAAGCAGAGTTTGGGTTGGGAGCAGAGGGTCTGGGTTGAGAAGCTGATAGTCTTACATGCAAGAGGAGTGGACAGAAAGCACTTTAGTGACAGCTGCTAGTGCAGCGTTGGCTGCTCCTGTCCCTCAATTCAGTGCTCTGGCACCCTCAGCAGGATCCTGCTGTCCTTCACCACGGATCTTCCACCTTGGTGCCATCAACCCAACTCCCAGAAGAAAAATTTCCCCTCCCCTGCAGGACCACATGCTGATATCCACGTCCCCCAAAGCAGGGCTGAAATTCACGCAAATTCTTGGGTCCAAATAACTCCTGTGGGCTGCCACCCCTATGGAGAGCAGCTGGAGGGAGGGAGAGGAGACCTTTCCTCACCATTGTCTGCCTGCTCTCCCCAGGTACGACGAGGAGCAGAAGAAGTGGGAAGGGGTTCTGCGGGAGATCCAGTACGCCTCCGGCGCCACGTTCCTGCCCGTGCGCCTCAACGTCCTGCGCCTCACCAAGATGTGATCAGGAGAGATTGCTCCTCTTTCCACGGGCTGCTGGGGCAAGGAGGGGTGGGGAGGTGCTTCTCAGAGATGGGGCATCGAGACACTGCCCAGGACATTGCATCTGTGATTGGTAACTTTTTGGATAAGTGGGAAAGAGGGGAGAGTGTCTGGAAAACCTCCTGGGAAACTGAAGTGGCTCACAAGGTAATTAAAGAGGGGATCTGGAGCCTGCAAGGAGCTGAGGAAGGCTGAGAAGCACAGAAAAAATAGTTATTCAGTCTCAGGAGAAGGGACAAATAGATTATACATTTTTTAGCTTATTTATTCATGTTTTTCCCCATCTTTTCAACTGCTGTTGGACCCCTCCAACAAACAGCAGATGCAGAAAGTGATGACTAAGATGACATTCCCCAGGGAAAGGCATCCACAGAGTATTTCCCAGCCTAAGGTGTCTATGACCACAGTGTTCCTTGGAGAGGAGAAGGAGGGGTTAAAGTCAAGTGGCACAGGAGAGACCTGATGAATTCCTGAGTGAAGAGGGTTGCTGGGATGAGACAGGCAAAAGATCATGTGAGCAGCAGAAGCACTTTGGGAGTTGTGATAAAAAGCAAATAATCTCAGTTCTTCGCCTGCAGCTTGACTTTGGAGTGATGAGAGGCCAGGAGCTGAGTCTGAGGAAAGGAGAAGTTATGGAAGTTGTAGGGTGGGAAGGGAGGAGGGATGGACAGAGGATGCCATGTGTGGTCACTTCCAGCCTTTTGGGCTCCTCATCTTCAATCACAGATCACAATGTCCTCACCTATGGACGGACAAATGCTAGTTTTTGGTTTTTAGGGAAAGGTTTTATATTTTTGTTGTTTTCTTATTTTTCATGTTCAGATTTTTTTTTAAAGAGTATTTTACTTTGCTAAGATCTCAGATGTGTTTGGCTCAAAGAGAGCTTCTGACTGAGGAAAAATGCATATTTATTTAAAAGTTGTCAATAATGAAGATTTGATAGAGACATGACTGTACTGGCAGCAGGAAAAAAGATCTGTTAGGGCAAAAATCTCCTGATGCCCACACCATCTGACCAGTGACTTATTTAAAAATAAATGATTAAATGAAATAAATAATTTCCAAAAGAAATCCCCTGTGTCTGCACGTTGATAAAGCTGAAACTGATCCTTCACAGCAACCAAAGACAAGGACGGAGCACAAGTTGTGATGGACACATGCAGCAAAACAGCCCCATGGAGAGCCCCATCTTTTCTTATTTTCCCCCATTTGAGAGCTGAAATTTTAGGATCTGTGTCCTTACAGCTCTTCCCTATGGATGTCTCAACCAGGAGTTTACCCAGGACTAGAAGGAAGCTGGATGCTTGCACTGACAGGGTGAGAGGAAATGGCCTCAAACTGTGCCAGGGGAGGTTTAGATTGGATATTAGGATGAGTTTTTTCATGGAAAGGATTGTAAAGCACTGGAAAAGGCAGTGGAGTTCCAGTGATGGAGTCACCATCCCTGGAAGTGTTCAAAAAAATGTGGATATGGCACTTAGGGACATGGTTTAGTGATGAACATGGTGGTGGTGCTGGGTTGGTGGTTGGACTCAATGAGATTAAAGGTCTTTTCCAACCTTTCAATTCTATGAATTGAGTTCTTCCAACAATTCTATGATTCTTCCAACAATTCTATGATTCTGTGATGTCATAGTACCATTAACAGGGTTAATAATCAATAATAATTCAAAAAAAAAAAAAGAAAAAAAAACACCTTGAAAAACAATTGCCTCAAAGTGGTATGAAAATTCTGGTATCAAAAATCTAGGTCAAAATGCAGTTGTGGAGAAACTCAGATATGTTTGGAAGAAAAAAGAATTCAAGGGAAGTAAAGGAAGCAGAGTCTTGTCCTGGTTTCATTTGAAGGATTTAGGAAGTTACAGGATAAGCTCCTTAGAGGACAATCACATCAGAACAGTAATGAAATATTTCAAAAGAAAAAGAAATCCAAGGTGACTGGCTGTCACAAAGTAGCTTAAAAAAAAAAAAAAAAAAGGAACAAAAATCTTTGAAACAATCAAATGTGTGAAAAAGGGACGGAAAAGAAATAAACACCTTCTGCCTAGTTCTGCAGAAATCCATGTAGACAATTCCCAAGCTAATTAAAGATGACTCTTCCAAATAGCTTCTGGCAGAAAAAAAGAGAAAAATTCAGAAAAAAAAGATTAAAAAAAAAATCCCTGCATAGAGTAACTATTTAAAAAAGTCATTTATTGCAGTGTCAGGATCCCACCTCCTGCCTCCAGCAACACCAACCCTGGAATTGTTCAAGGAATGAGTGGAAGTTGCACTCAGTGCTCTGGTCTGGCTGACAAGGTGGTGCCTGGTGAAAGGCTCAGTGATCTTGAAGGTATTTGGAAAATACCTTAATGATTTTGTGATTCTGTGACCTTTGCTTCAGCTCTTCTTGCTGAATGCAGGCTGGGAAGTTGCTGATGATCCTGATGAAGATTTAATCCCCACTCACCTCCTGCCACATTTCTTGGCTCTCCTGGAGGAGTTCTGGGTTTTGTGAAGCCAGCAGGAGAATGTTGCTGACCTTCCATGAGTTGCTGTGATGTAGTCACTGAAAAAGGCTCGAGATGTTTCAAATAAACTGGAGTTTGGTGCTCATGTGTGGTTCACATCCATTATAAAGCTGTGGAGAAGCCACCACTGGCACAGGGTAGGAAACTATAAAAGGAAAAATGGTTGTTGTATAAAAATATCCAGAAGAACTTGAAATATCCCCCTGCTTGAGCAACAAGAAGCAAATCTCAGCACACGCTGGTCTGAGGAAGGAGGCAAAGTTGGACATCACCAAGTGAAGGTGAGGCCTGGGGATGTTCCTCCACACCTCCAAGAGGCTGTGTCAGCTTAAAGGACATCACAGATAAGAAATTCCACCAGAGAGACATCACTCTTCCCTGCTGCCTGGTGTTTTCCTGGCTCAGATGCAACAGCTTCAGTGGCACAGGTTCCCCTACAGACAATGACAGTGGCAAAGACATCCAAAGGGTGAAGGAACATCATCTTCTTCCATTATCTTCCCAATATACATGCTGATCTTGCTGGTGAGGTTCCCCTTGCTCCATTTTAAATTAATAAAGGCATTGAGTGCTTTTGGATGTGCTCCTTGGTTTCTCCTCTGCCAACAGAGATCAGAGAGCCCCTACTCAAGAGTTCACACCAACCTGACGGAGCCAGTAGGATTAGGTGCTCAGTCCTTACCCCAGGGCTGTAAGCACTGAATTCCTTCTTCTATCCACTCATCACCCTTCCCTGAAAAGCTCTTTTTTTGTTGGCCCCACAACAGTCTCACACACATTCACACATCTCCCACCAAACCCAACACAGAGCCTGTACATGTGAAGCAGTGGCAGCAATCGACATTCCACAGGATTCCTCATCCTCCCTATCCTGACTGCTCACACAGTTCCCTGAAAAAAAAAAAACCCTTTTAAAAGAAAAGTTAAAATAAAAGGAGGGGAAGAAAAAGATGAAGCAAAATTAAGGTAACAAAAGAAAGTGGTGGAGCTTTCGGTTTTCTTTTATAAAAGACAAATCGTTTATTGATTCAGTCCTTCCACTTGCAACCTCTTTGGTAACAGTCATAACACTTCCAGACTGGGAGAACGCAGTGGAAAGGCCCAGTTCTGACCTCTCACCAACTTCAGAGCTCAGTGAGCCCCAACGTGCCTTGGTGAGAGGCCAAAAGCAGATTTCAAAGCATGGCCAAGGACCTGCCCTCGAGGGACAACCCAAGCCAGCCTCCCTACCGTGACTTGTTGCGCTGGTGGGCGGCACAGGGAGCAGCCCCAGCACCCCCAGGCAGAAGATGGCTCGGGATGGGGATCTCTGACTGGGAGCTGTGCCCTGGGAGGTGGCTTTGATGAACCTCTTGGGACCTCCTGGACATTGGGACCACCGACGAAGCAAGACTCGCCCGTTCCTGCGGTAGACAATGACTTGCCTCAGTTGGCCCCACGGGGATGGATCCAACCATCTCAGCCTCCCCCTCCTCACACCATCCCAAAGAGAGTAACTGCTGTACTTGGAGTTAAAGATAAACATATATTGATTACACATGGTCATAAAAAAAAAAGGTAATAATAATAATAATACATTTCCTAGAACATTACTTAAGACGCTTCTGAAAAGCATCCAAGCTTCCCCTTCCCTCCCCGCCTTCCCTTAATCTATACAGAATAAAGTGCTTCGTTTAGTTTGTTCACACTTGTAGAGCCACCAATACACTCTTAACTTGGCATGTTTGGGCAACTGATACTGAATGCCGTAAAATAATTCAGAGCCAAACACCAGGCATGAGAAACTAGTTTTGAGGCAAGTGCTTGGGGGTTTCATTCATTTCCTTCAAGTTCCATGCTACAGAGGTTGTTCTTATTCCTATTTTTTTATCTCCTTTTTTAAAAATTTATTATTTTCTTCCTTTGTAAGTCCAACCCAACTCCCGTCGTGGTTCCGTGTCTCTAGGCAGGGCTGCGTGTGGGGAAGCTCTGGCCGTCCGTGTGAACAAAGGGCGTCTGTCCGTCTGTCCTTCCCTCCTGACTTCGGGCAAACCAAGAGTCACCTCAGAGGAGTTGTCTAGCAGCGGATGCTCGTCTCTATTGCACTGTCACAGCCATTCCCACCCATCTGTCCATCCATCCATCGCCTTCCCACCGCGCCAGGGTTATGGCTGTGGTCCAAAGGGCCAGCCGTGCCTCATGGATATGTGAGGCAAACTGGTCTGTGCTACCAGGCTCCTGGGATATATAAACCAAAAGTGACCCTCCCCAACATGATTCCCTCCCTCCCCAAAGTTCAAATGAAGGGTGGAAAAAAAAAATTTCCGACCCAGGCGGGTCTGGGGTTTGAGTGTGTGGGAAGAGCTGTCAGCTGAACGTTGCGTATTCAGGAACCGCGTAATGGAAATCAAGACCCTCTCCACCCTCGCGGTCTGTCAAAGAAGGGATGTGAGAGATTAAGGTGCAAGAGTTAAAAAAAAAAAAAAGAATTAAAAAAAAAATTAAAGTAAAACATAAAAAGCTTGAAAACAACGGACCCAACTCTCCTGCCTGCTGCTCTGTCTAACCCCAAGGGTACAACAGTGCAGGCTGGGATGGGTCCGGGATGGACGAGGCACTGCGGGAGCGACTCGTCTGAGCTCTTAGTACACAAATGAAAACCAGACATGGAGACACACTGGGGCTGAGTCAGGGTGTAGACAAAAGGGCTTGGAGGCCTTGTAGGTCTCCTGGGAACTACCCAGGCCTTGGAGAGGGGAGGGAGCAGCAGGGATCTGGTTCTCCAAAGTGCTGTGTGCATGGTCACATCTCGACGTCTCCAAGTGGCTCTAGGAGCAGGCTCTCGAAGGGGATTGGACGTGGCTGGGATCAGTCACTGGGCTTTCTGCTGGGCTTCCAGCCTCAAGGAAGGGCTCTCATCTCACAGAGATGTCCAAGGGGGGCAGGTCCTCACTGGGAGAGGATGAACTGGGACAGGAACAGGGAAAGTCACCTCCAGGTGAGTGGAATAAGGGAGCACAACGTTGGCATGGGTGTTTACGTGGGGGGAAGCCTATCAGCTGATGGGCTCCATCACAAAAGATCATAAAATGAGCCCTTCTCAGGGCACAGCGCTCCCATCCTGTCTCAAGGCTGAACATGAGGTGAAAGAAGCACAAGGAAGCCCAAGGGGATGGGATCTGGGAGGCAGCACAGGAGGAGACAGCATTGACCACTCCAGCACCTCCATGGGTTTCACTGAATTCTTCTCTAAAGCAAACATCTTCCAGTATGGGTCATGGTCCCTTCCTACAGCCAATGGCCCCAAGAGCCCTCATCCCTCACGTGTGTTTGAGGCTTTGCACCATCCCAACGAGCCCCAGGGTCATGGAGGGAGGCAGCAGAGAAGCCTTTGGAACTCACCTGAGAAGGTCAGTGAGGTGAGGCAGCTCTGCCATAGCCACCTCCTCGTGCTCAGAGCAGATGGAGATGGAGGCTTGCTCACTGGTACTGAGAGCCACGCTGGGGATCCACAGGATCCCAGCCAACACAAAGATGAAAAGGACTTTGTGGCTCCAAAATGCTAACATCAGTCAGCTTTCCCAAGCTGCCAGACACCAATGGAGCAGCACTCAGCAGGAGATGACACCACACACCTCAAAGAGCACTCAGGACAACAGCAGATGCTCCCTGATCCTGTCCCCATCAGGCTCCTGCATGTCCCCAGTCAGCAAAGCCCCTGAGCATGGGTCTGAATCCTCCCATCTCTGCAGGGACAGCCCCAATGCTGCCCAAGTGCTTTGCTGATTTGGTCCAGGACACAAAGCACCAAGACTTTTCACAAAGCCAGGCTCCCTGTCCCCAGCACTCTGCTGTCACCCAGCATAAGC